TTTAGTAGCAGGCAAAGTCAGATATTATGCCACTCATCTCGATTGTGCTGGGTCCACAAAGTGCCTACAGTGGGGGTGCTCCCGGCTCAGGGCCCCGCTCCTCCAGGGAGGCTGCATACCTTTGGGCTGCTCCTGGGCGGTCCTGAAGCTGGCGGCTTGTGAAGGCAACGTTTTTTCTCTCCAGAAGAGAGTTTCTGCCTCTTCCACCTCAATTAGGATTGTCCCTTGTTGCAAGAGTTCCTCTTATCCAGCTTTCAGTTCCCTCTCAGGGGTAATTTTTCCACGAGTAGTTGTAAATTGGCTGTGTCCACAGGAGGAGGTGAGTTCAGAGTCTCCTTATGCCGCCATCTTGACTTCTCTCCAGCCAGGACTCTTTGGAGAAACGGATGATTCCAGGGGTTGGGCAGGGAAAATACAAGATGAGTCCGAAACTTCTTGTGCCAAAAGCAAGGAAGTGCTCAAAGAATGATGGGGATATATCAAGCCAGTTGGAGGAGGATGCTCCTGGCAAACTTAGTGGCAATTTAAGCATTAAAGTAATTATATTAATAAATTATAACCCATGAACAAAACAGGATATTATGAGTTCTTATGGAGATAGAGAATGAATGAATGAATTGCAAGTTGGATGAGGAACAGCGTATTTACACAGTTTCAAAGTATCTTCTCACAAAATACTTATGAAGTATGAGTGAAAAAACAGTAGCTTTAGAGTGGAAGTCTTTCAGATGCCACCTGAATCAAGTGACACAAGTAAATATCATCAGTAGTGAGACACATAAAAACTGCAATATCTGATAAAATGCATTGAAAGAAACACAACATCACTTCATCACTTGTATGATATTCCCAAATAAAAGAATGTGGAAACATTGGCTAAGTTCATAACGAGGAACATTCTACAACATAACTGGCCTGTAATCTTCAAAACTGTCAAGGTCATGAAAGTCAAGAAAAGATCGTGGACCTATCCCAGATTAAAGATGACTGAAGAGACTCGACAATTATTGCAATCTATGATTCAGAACTGGATTCTTTTACTATAAAGGACATTATTGGAACAACTGTCAAACCTTGAGTGGGATCTGAGGATTAGATGGTAGTAATGTACTAATGCGAATTTTCTGGTTTTGATGGTTACATTGTGGTTATATAGGAGAATGTCGTTGTTTGTAAGAAACATTTCTTAATCCCTAGAACCTGTGAGTATGTTATCTTACCTGGCAAAAGACACTTTGCAGATGTGATTAAGTTCATATATCCTATGAAGCAGAGCATGCGAACTTAACCGCTACACCACTGGGCCAGCCCCAAGTTAATATTTTGAGATGGGAGATTATAAGAAATTATTCATGTGAATCCTTATAAGGGAGAGAGAGAACCTTATAAGTGAAAGTGGGAAGCAAGAGAGTCAGACTCAGAGAAGGAGATGTGACGATAGAAGCAGAGGTTGGAGTGATGTGATTTCTGGAAGGGGGATATGAACCAAGGCATGTAGGCAGCCTCTAGAAGCTGGAAAAGACGAGGAATGGATTCTCCCCTGAGCCTCCAGAAGGAACGCAGCCCCGCTGACACCTTGATTTTAATCCCATAAGACCCATTTTAGAATTACTGTTCTTATGCCAGAACTGTAAGAGAATAAATCTGTATTCTTTCAAGCCACTAAATTTGTGATAATTTGTTACAGCAGCAATAGGGAACTAATGCAATACATGTGAAGCACTTAGCACAGTATCTGGCATATAATAAGCACAAACATTTATTTATTCTTCTTCTTGTTAGTCATTCTTTCCAAAGCACTGAACTTAGTTTTCATAGGATCAAGAATTCTGTTTTTGTACTTAGGTTTTGTTGGTTTCTATAACGCTTGATAACATGACGTATCTACAGTACAGGTGGTGTAAACAGGTTTGTGAATAAACAAAATGCACTTTGTGAGTGTGCTGCCTGTTCTACATTTGTCCCTCCAGTTCTGCCCTGCTCTGGTCTCTGGAGGCTGACCACATGGACTGTATCATGGGCATGCTTGTCTCTGGCTTCAGTGGCTTCTACAGAGACATTGGGCAGGAGATCGAAGAGAGGGAGAAGAGTAAAGTCAGGGTATTTGTCCCCCCTGCTCCTGCCTTGTTGGCCAGTCAGTCAGCAGTGGCTGCCTTCCTCTTCTAAAGGCCAGGGCACCTGTTGGGTGGCCTCTTCTGTGGCTTTCTTGGTCTCTGGTAACCTCTCCTTGCTCTTGTTCCTTCAGGCTTAGGGGTGGTAACAGCTCTCAGCTGTTGCTAGTCCCTGGTGCTTCCTCATCCTTTATTGATGGTGTCTCTGCAAATTCACTGAACTCTCCTCCATTACCCGCATTGTGAGTACCATCCTGTGTGGATCATGACTGACATGGTAAATACCCATACATTCCTGTGGCAGGGAACACAAATGCCCAGAAATGCTATAAGGTCCCGAGTGCCTTAGTAGCCGTAAGTGGCTAGCAGAACTTGGCCCCAGAGAAAGAATGGAAAGCATTGCTCTAGCAGGTAAGCCTGGTCAATATCCTTCAGCCAAAGCCCACCAGGAACACACCTGTATTTGAACAAGGTGGCTTTAGTACTTGTGGCAGTGAAGGAGAAAGCACACTATGGGGACCTCTGGGGGCATCTCAGCAAGAGAATGTTAGAAAGGACTTCTTATAGGATGTGGGCTTGTTTTGGCGATTTGGGGGAGGGTTTACAGAAGCAGGGCTTGGTCTGGCTTGGATGCTGCGAGGAATCAGGAGTAATTCTGATTGTGTATCTCTACAAGTCTTATCTATAAGGAGGCCAGAATAGACCAAGGATAAAGCTGTCACTGGTAAAGTAGCATCAGTCATGCATATTAGCTGGGAGAGGGGGATCTTTGGTATTTTGTGGTTTGGACATTGCTCTTGTTTTTGTCTGTGTTCAGATATGATCTCAGAGTGGTCTTGTTTTTGTCTTGATCCATCATAGCCACAGAGTGCCCTTGTCTGATGTTGACGTTCTGTGAAATTGTTATTTTCACCAAGAGAACACCAGGGCCTAGCAGTCAGTGCTAGGACAGCTTCTAGCAACACCAAGGCTCATCTGGAAGTCGGAGGATGCTTTTCTTTTTCTAAGCCTGTTTCATGGAGGTTCAAGTATGATCTGCATTAGAATCACCCACAGAGCTTGTTAAAATGCAGATTCCAGCCCTGCCCCCAGACCTACTGAATGATGTCTAGGGGGAGGGCTGGAAGTCTGTATTCCTAATCAGGATGCTGCATCATTCTGATGCACACCAGAATTTGAAGGCCACTGGTCTAAAAAGAGAGATGTCACAAACCCAGGTTCACAAACCTAGATTTGTGACAACCATTCACAGTGTGAGACATCAAGCACTAAGCTGTACATTTAAATTTTCATTAGTGTCAGGATCCAGCACCTTGAAGTTGTAGAATTTTATCTCAGTGGAAGCAACCTTTGAATTTACAAGGTCATCTGTGCTTCTACCTTGTGCGCCAGTTATAGAAAAATCTCAACTAAGGAGGTCAACCTGTATGTGACAGAAGAGAATGGGCTGGGTACCTATTACCATAAATCAATAAAAGGTAGACATCAGTAGAAAGGCTGCTGCCAAACAGAGGAAAAAACCCAACAACGATGAAGCAATGCTTCCAAAGTCAGTGAGAACATTCATAAAGGTAAACCAAAATTCCAGAGGCAGAGCTTTTCAAAGATGCATGACTGAAATCTCATTTAATGAGGCAAACTATATATCAGAAATGAGATGTTTTAACTGCAAAATATCTAGTTGGATCACTGCAGATAAAAACACAAAAATCTTCTGCAAAGGAACATTCTCAAGAAAGAATACAAAGAAAGCAGAAATGAAGAAGTTAATTTATTCTAAAACCACAACTAGAATATTTGGCGTTTTCAAGTGTCAGAGAAGGAGCACCAAAAGTGTAAGACAGAGCCTAATAATGAACTTGATGTTGAACCTGATTTTGAGGCACTGGTGAGACTTGGCTCCTTAGAGTGACAGGAAGAAAGAGACTTGAGGCTCAGACATCACCACCAAATCTAACTTAGGATACTTTTTTTTTTCCCATTGAATTTTTCTGCTCTTCAGTGGAAGAACTGAGCTCGCCACAATCAAATAACCCCACCAAAGCTTTCCTCACAAGAAGTTATGTAATGAATCTTTTTAGCCTGAATAATGCTTTTTGCCTTAAAAGTCTATTTGGTTGCAATCTCTACAGGCAGAGTCTGCATCTATAGCTCATTACCATTATTCTGATGATAATGTTATCTCTCATCAATTACTTGGGAGCAAGGTCAAATTTAGCAGCCAAATCTTCCCTTTCGTGGAGCCATCAAGAGCCTATCTATCACCTCCTTTCCCAAGATCAATTCGCCTTATAGAAAGCCTCATGCTCATGTTCTTTCTCTCTCTCACTCTCTCCTCCTTCCATCCTCCCTCCCCTCCCTCTCCACCTCCTCATCCTGTCACAGTATTACCAGTTACAAAATCTTGCCTGATTTAAGCCCTGATTAATTTATTTCTTTTCACTTTCATTTGAGAATGGACAAGCAAGAATGGGTGAGAAAGTCATGGAGACTTAAGGAAGGGGAAGAATCTGCATGTAAGAGACAAAAGATTGTTTGACTTTGTAAATAGATATTTGGTATGTGGTATGTGGTTCTCCTGGAATTTTAGTCCATAGGGAGGACCTTTTTGATTGAGACTATGATTGTATAAGGTGTGCCACTGAGATTTATTTTAATTAAGGAAAAGAAAAATTTCCCAGCCAAACAAAACAAAATAAAAAGACAAAACAACTAATATAAAAATATTCCTCTCTATTTCCAGAATTTGGCTCTGTTACAGAGCTGTCAGCCAGTCTAAAGTTCTCAAAAGTTGTTTCAGTTTCATAAGAGACTCACCTGGAAAGTGTACCTTGATGCATGAATCTTTGACAATTGGCTCAGGTTTTAGATTTCTTTATGAAAGTTCAGCTCAATTCCGTAATTCATTTACTCAATTTACTTCCTAGAATCAGTAAGCAAAAATTCAACTTCATAAACACAGCTGTACTTGGCAAACAAATTTAACAAGAAAAAAAGGATCTGTTTAATCACTTTCCAGAGTGTATTTATAAATTAACCTTGCTTCTGAGTAGTTACGATTAAATTGATCCAACAATCACTCTCTTAAATTTGATCTTTTTTCTTGAGGTACTAAGCCTTGTGAAAATGCAAAACTCCTAGGAGATGTAGCACTTTAGGTGGGCTGCCACCAAGCCCCGAATTTCTTTGTATACTTTGAATCTATGTTGTTAAGTACATATAAATTCAGAACTGTAAATCTTCCTGGTAAATTTTTTTTTATAATGACCCTCTCTATCCATAAAAATGTGTTTTGCCTTAAAGGCTAATTTGTTTGACACAATATAGCCACAATGACTTTCTCTTGCTAATAATGTGTCTAATAAATCTTTTCTCATCCTTTAACTTTCAGTCTTTCTGTGCCATTATGTTTAGGTGTCTCTTTCATACAAATAATTTTTAAATCCAATCTGAACATCTTTGCCTTTTAATTGTTGAGTTTAATCCATTTATATTTATTGTGATTATGCACATTTGGTTTTATTTTCACCATATTATTTTCTGCTTTCAACCAACCATACTTTCACTTTGCTTGTTTCCCATCCTACACCTTCCTTTTTAAGTGGTCATGTTATATTTATTCATATTATATATGTATTGGAACTTTACATTCTATCCACCATGTTTCTTAACTACTCTTTTCTATTTTCTGTCTCTTTAGCTTACTATCACTCACAACAAGCCACTTGTGGAATTTGTTTTTCCTGTCCTTGCAACTTTCAGCTCTGTGGTAGAAGTCCTGATTCCCAGAGAGTGACGGCTTCCACCAGGGGATACAGTAAAAGTCCCACTTTATTTCAAACTATGGCTGCCACTGGGTCACTTAGGGTTCCTCATGTCGAGAGACCAGTAAGCAAAAGAAGGACACACTACACTTGCAGGAGTAATTTACACTGATCATCAGGAGGAGGTACAGCTGCTATTACATAATGTAGAAAGGGAAGAATATACTTCACATTCAATACACAGTTGGAGCATCTCTTGATACTCTGCTGCCCAATTTGGATGGTTAATAGACAAGTCCAGTAGACACAACTTCAGAAGGGTATGGTGACCAGAAGCATAGACCCTCAGAGTTTCCACCAGTTAAATTACTAAGACCATGAGAAGCACTAGCCAAGGGTGAAGAGAATCTGGAATGGGTAGTAAAGAAATGAAATATGAAAACTGGCTGTGCTCTTAAAAGTAGTTGCAGCAGCAGGAAATGCTAGCTTTCTCCACTAACTTTCCTTATATAAGACTCCTTAGGAATTGAGAACAATCACAAAGCTGATGATGCTCTTCCCAGATGGAATAAAGTTACCACAAAATGCAAATGGAAATGGAACTGAGCAGTCCAAATGTGGGCTGTAGTGGATGCTGACCCATGCTGCTCAGAGTCCCCACCCCCCCATCTCTGATTTCAGGCCTGAGACACTGGTCTCTTTGTTGCTGGGTTCATTGGCTGCTGATGGCTCACTTCTGGGTCTCCCTGGGAATTGTCTTCAGCCAAAGGGAGCCATCTTTCCCAAGTTTATGACCTCTTCCCAGGGGCAACTTGCATCCAGTGACTGGTTGATGTTGGGATATAAAGGCCCAGTCTTATTGTCTCGATTTGGGATATTCTTAAGGGCCACCCCAACTCCAGAGATCCTCATGGGATCAGCTGAGGCTTCTGTTGAAACTGTATCACTGTATCTCCTTCTGCCTAATCCTTCTTTCACTCCCTCAAAGGTGTTCCTTAGAGTATTCTCCAATAAAGTTCCTGCATGCAAATCTCCATCTCAGAATCTGTTTCCAGGAGATTCTACTCAAGCATGATCTTTTTCAGATAAAACTTCTATAATTATAGGTTACTGGGAACCTATCCTTCTGTTTTTTTACGTACATCTTGGATTATAAACTCATCTTCAATGGAAACCTTCCTATGAAAATCCTGTGTGGTCCAGGCTGTGGAAGTGTCACTCCTTAGAGATTTTCTTTACACTTCTGCCAGATACTCCAGGGATATCACTGTCCCAGGACTAATTTTTATGTAAATTTCTAATCTTGACAGTTCCCAAACCATGACTGAAGTGTACATTCTAACTGCAATACAGCATTAAGCAAAAGCCCGAGATTT